AGAGGTCAAGCATTTTAATAGTACTGGCTTTAAACTAACAATCTTTAAAGAATTCTACATTTTGTAAATGCAAGCTACAGAGTGCTTCTGTTTGTTTTCAATACTTTAAAACATGCATGGCCCAATCATAGTTACTCAAATAAGCGAGTTATATGATCAGGCCTAAACTAGGGATATGAAAAATTAATAGGTGATGCTTACTGGTTCCAGTTAACTGGTGAGGACTGGAGCAGATAGATCCCCACCTGCTGGCCAGTGGGGTCCCTGAAGTGGTTAAGGGGTTAAACTTCACGTTTAACTGATTAACCAGTTACACAGGATTTTACATCTCTAGCCTAAACAGCAGACACTACTTAGGGACAGAAGCAATGCCCATGAAATGAAATGGGTCATTGTCAGGTCTTGAGGTATAAGTCCTACATCTATTGGCTAGCCACCTTCTACATATAAAAACTCTCTTGGTGCTTGAATAATTTATTTTTCTTTTAAAAAAGTTTAATGTATTTTACCTATTACTGGCAGCTTGTCCTGATCCAGTTTTATTCTTGCAAAGCCATCCTAGAATGCAATATGACTTGATTTATAATTACAGAAACTACAACTGTCCAGATGATATAAAACAGACAATGACAATTTTTTTCATTTATTTATAGGATTCACTTTCAATGATATATCAATGGAAATGTACAGTCTTATATCAAAAATCTCAGTTATGTTCCCAGAGCAACAATAACTAACCCTCTTACAAATACAGTTCATACTTTCTGCATATTCACAAGTGCAAATTTACAGTTGCTAAGGGAAACAATGAACTTCCTAAGATATATCTGTAAAATCTCAATCATATCATTAATACAATATGGGCACACTTGCATGTTCATTACACCATATTCATTGTAATCAAACTACTAATATATTTTCATTTAATTTCAAATTTCCTTTCAAGTACAGAGAAGAAAACATTTAACGGATTATAACTTCATTTGGCATGTGTGTAGAGTAAGTTATCTAAGCATATAGTCGTCTGTGAAAAGATTTGAGAACTAGATTGGTTACTTTTCAACAACTGAAAACTTTAGCATATAATTATAACTTTGCAAGAGAATAAACTTATGATATTCTAATCCAAAGCAAAAAATTTTCAAGTGAAGTTATAAGCATTTAAAATCCCCCATTTTTATATTAAAAATGTGTGAACTTTAAACTACAGAATTAAATCCATTAAAACATATGGGCAGGAAAACATGGCTTGGTTAAGCAATTACAGGTTTTTGCACTTAAAACTAAGTTTTTTAAAAATCAAGTACTGTTTCAATATATTTCTCAGTTCTGTGACTGTGGTATCTTGATATATTTACCACAGCACAGCAGCTTCAAAAGAAAAACGACCACCACATTTGCTTTATTTCTATTTTTACTGGATCATGTCACTTGGGTAAAGAATAAAGTTTGGCGCTCTGTACTTCATGTCTGAAATCAGGCAAAAGGAGCAAAGAACTATCACAAATTGATTGAGGATTAATTTACAAAAAAAAACCCGAATTGTGTAAGATGTTATTTATACATTAGTTTTAGTTCTTTAAAATGCTTTACAAAAAAAACACACTAAAAAATAACCCTCGGAACACCTCTGCAGGTGGTAGATAGCAGATTTTACGTTCGGCTCCATCTATGAAGACAAGAAACAACACTGACTCATTGGTGGACTTGTCCATGTCAGAGCAAGGATTAGATCTCAGGAGTTTCTGGGTACAAGTTCCAGCATCAATGCATTAAACTATACTTACAAATGCAAGATTGATTTTTCTTTAGTTTTTTGTATTCCTAAGTGCTAAATATATTATTTATTTTTAAAAAGGCAGCTAAACAGATTTCCATCAAAATATTGCATGAAAATCTAGTAAGTAAAAATTGTGTTGTTTAGCATTACTTAATACAAATATAAAAATTAATGTTAAATGTTTGTTAAACTATCTTTAAATTAAGTAATTGTGTATATTTGTTATAACGTGCTACTGTTAGAAACAAGTACTGACCAATGAGCAGGGCTCGACAAATAATGCAATCTACTCGCACATGGCGAGTAGATTACAACCTGGAAGAGTCGGGTTTGGGCTATCTGCGCATACGCAGATCGCTGGACAGCGTGGCTGACAAGCGGGGCTTGCCGCGGTTTGGCGAGCCCTGCCAATGAGAATCAACCATCAAGATAATAACTAAAGAACAAATGCAAGCAAGATTAAAATTCTTGATTTAAATCAAGGTTTCCTAATTGATGATTTAAATAGCTTTATTCAAATCAATCCACCTAAACTTTTATTTTACAATTCTGATGACAGTGTTGTCTTATCAGAAAGATACTAAAACTTCTCAGACTAATGAAAATAATGGAATCTCAAACTTTTTGCCAATAACATTTTTACAAAGGCAAATCAGGGTATGAAATTTTAGCCTGTACTTCTATACCATTCAGTCCCAGAAACAAAAATATACCTCTTAACTAAAACTGTGGAAACAGCAGCTGCAATTTCAATAAACAAGCAGATGGTCTGGTTTTCTTGTATTATCCCAGTTTACAAGTAAGATTTTAAAACTAAATTACTCCTTACCCTTATAATGAAAGACACATGAAAGATGTTTTCCACGGTGCGTGCAAAAGAATTTGGATCAATCACAAAATCAAAGAAGGAGATAGGTGTATTGGCTATAGACATAAGAAAACAGTAGTTATATGTATGTAATTTATATTAAAGTTAGCAGAGATGTAAATATGCTAATTTAGGAGATGCACTGTATGTGTAGGTCTTAAGCAAATTGTTACATATTTAACTATCCTTGTGTGAAGCCATTTTATCAGATTTTCAATTTTCTTAAAAGTGTACTTTTTTAAACACCATATTACTCCTTTCCACCTGCTACCCTCCCACCTCCCCACATTCACTGGAATTAAAATTGTCATTGTCTCATTAATTATTTTTTGTTGCTGTTTTTGGAGATCACAGTTCAACACTGATCATCCTTTCAGCTGAAGAGAGTATAGGATTCTTCTAAGAAGAGGGAATGCTTTGTATTCTTTCACTATGAAACCTCTGTAATCTTGATTTCCCAAGTCTGGCATTGTCGGTGAATGTAGGGCAGTGTTTCTTAAGACTGAGGAACACATTTTTTTTTTTTAAATGGGGAACACCAAGGATTTTTTGTTGTTGAGGGGGAAAAAAGGAGGCTTGCCCCTTTAAGGGCAGCCATTCCCAAGGGGAAAGTTTTTTTTTTTTTTTTTTTTTTTTTTTTAAAGTTGACAAGAGTCCCCAGGGAAAAGTTGAGCAAAAACAAAAAAGGATGTGGAAAAAATTGTTAAGCAAAAAAACCAGTTTGCCCTTTTATCAGGAGAGCAGGCATTGCCCTTTTAAGGGTGGCCATTTTTGAACTCTGTTCTCTGTGTCACACCTCCAACAGCCTCGCAGCACACCAGTGTGCCACAGAACACACTTTAAGAAATGCTGATGTAGGGGCTCAAGGGCTAAAGCATTCACAGGGAAAAACAAGCAGACTCAGACCAGAAGAGTAGCACCTAAGTGCCCTTCGGGCCAGCAGTAAAGGCCTGGTATGGACTGGGGGAGCAGAGGCCTCGTGGGCCAAGAGAGCAAGTGAATGGCACTCATCTCCCCTGGTCTGGCAAATTCCTTGGTTTGGGACCAGTCAGGTCCCATGGGTGCTGGACCAAAAAGGTTCAACCTGTATTCAGTTTAGGAAAGAAACCGTTTCTGTCTGAGTTTGCAAAAAGAAACAATAGCTCCACAGGCTTAATGTGGCAAATATATAGAAAGCTATAAATACTAAGGATGTTAAGGGGTGGGTAACTGTGGCCAGACAGACTAATCCCATATGATCCATCTTATTTGCCTCTCTGAAGCACAGGGCAGAGAAGGAGCAATAATATCAGCATAGTCTATGCTGGCTCATCTGATCCTGAGAAGCTGAAACACAGATATGTGGATAGAGAGCAGCTAAGTCAATAAGCTGGCCTCGAGGCTGCGGCTGGCACCTATGTTGATTCCTGAAACACAGATACGTGGAGAGAGAGCAGCTAATGTCAATAAGCTGGCCTCGAGGCTGCGGCTGGCCCCTATGTTGATTCGAACACACACACAGTCCCTGAGAGGAATTTTCCACTGAGAAAACAATGTCCTGTACTTCAAAATTTAATCACCTCAAATCTCTCTTACAAGTGTAAATTAAGTTCACAACTCCCTTGTAAGAACTGGTCTCACAGCAGACAGACCAGCATCAATTGGCAATTAAGATAAGAAAGAGAAATACGTGACCTCATGATTATAAAAGATGGGCCCAGCACACACTCACTTTGAGTGTCATTCTACCCTCTACCTGCTGGTCGGGTTAGGTGTTTGACCTCCCGAGGTTCTATGGGGACGCCCACCTCGTATTTTCGTCTTTCCTAGGAATTGAGGGACCGGCCCTGGCCTGACATGCTGGAGTCGAGAGGCACAGAAGGGGGTAAAAATGGTACCTGGATGTGGTCCTCTGTCTTAAGTGTACACATAGAAAGAGTAAGCTGTTACTTGGTACCATTATTTCTATTTTTCTATCTTTATCTTCTTTGTAACCATTTTTAAGACCTATATTTTGCTAATAGTTAAGAAATAGAGCAATAGCCATTGTAACCATATGATTTATAAGCTTCTTTAATAAACCTGTAACTGTTTAAGCTTTAACCTGCCTCCTTCAGTTGCTGTAACAGAACCAAGCACAATTTAAAAGAACTTCAGCCGGTCTAAAGGGACAGTTATAGGAAGAGCTTGGGCGTTTGGATCTGTGTCACTCCCAGGTGACAGGACCCACTGGGGCATCTTTCAGTCTTTCCTCAAGGCTGCCCGCTGCGAAGGAATTATGAAATTCTAGCAGCTGAAATCTAAGATGTAATAAGCTCTTCCTATATAACGGGGCGTCTGTTGGCCTGCTGGCCACCCTCTGCGATGGGACCCCGGTCCTAGCAGTAAAGGCACGGACGTTAAACCTTTTCTCGGAAACATACACACACACACTGCCCTGACCGTCGGCTGACAGTAACCGGGTAATCATGTACTCGATACCATAGAAAGAGCTGGTCGCACAGTCAGCCCAGTTCCTACTAAATTTAAACTGCAGAACCGCAGTAGGGGTTTCTCCTGGACCCAGTGCTCTTGTCCATTCCCTTCCCTCACACCGCTGCTTCTATCCAAAGCAGCAGTGCAAGGGGGCTAGGGGAGGCTGCTCCAGCAGCAGCCCTTGTCTGTGGGGGGTCCCAGCAGGAGTTCCCCCCCAGACAAGAAAAGCAGATCCCAATAGAGGAGAACCTAATTGAGATCTAATAGAGGCAGCAGCACAGCAGGGAGGAGGTGGCAAGCAGCACCACAGAGACAGTGCTGGGGGGAAAACCAGATTTTAAGACGGCTCCCCGCAATACTGGCTCCTGCTTCCCCGTCCCCTTGCTACCTCTCTATAGAGGCAGCAACGGTGGGGGAAGGGGATGGGGAGAAGAGAATTTGAGAAGTTGACTATCCAATGATCCTAAGCTTATCTGGTTGTTGACTAATCGACTACTCGCTCACATCCCTAATAAATACAGTGCAATCACTGCAGAGGCTGCTCAGAGACAGAACTTAAAATGTGGCCAGAATTCAAGTCTACAATTCTTAACTCCTCCCTGGCAAAGCAGGACACACTAGGACCTTGGATGATAGACCTGATTAGTTACTAATGTAGCTGCAGAGTATCATTCTCTAGCTTCAGAAGTGCAATACATTTTGCATTCCCTGCTTAAATGTAGCATTCCCTTAGCTAAATTGGGAGGCATACTTACGATCGTCTGTAAAATAAGTCTGCAACAATCCCAAGATCCTCTCAACTTCTTTTTCTGTAGCTTCCTGATGAGATTCCTCCATTTTCTTCAACTGAAAAAAATATTACAACCAATGTTCCCTCTATTTTTTTCCAGCCATATGTAGACTACACAACAGTAATTGGAAGGATTCTCCCGTTGCTGTAAGTAATCAACCTTCACAAGAGGTCATGCGGTCTACACTGGGGATTAGGTTGACATACCTATGTTTTCCTAGGGATGAGAGGGAGAATTTTCACACCTGAGAGATGAAGCTCCACTAATGTAAGTTTTCAGTGTATACCAGTTCTGAGAGATAATTCTTGTATTCTGCACTGAAATTTAGGATTGGTCCACCAGCATACATAAATCTCCCATGGTTGTGAAAAATCCACACCCTTAGAAACAAAGTTAAGATGACCTAACCAATATTGTAGGCAGCACAAGATCAGAAAGATTCTTTCATGAACCTACCTACCACCCTTCTGGAAGATAGATTAACTACAGCAATGGGCAAACCCTTCACCACTGCAGCTGTACCACTGCAGTGCTTTCAGTGAAGCCATAGCTGCAGAGAAAACAGATAATTCACAAACTAATACAGGCAGTCCCCGGGTTACGTACAAGATAGGGACTATAAGTTTGTTCTTAAGTTGAATTTGTATGTAAGTCGGAACTGGCTCCAGATTCAGCTGCTGCCACTGAAACT